ATATATCTCAACTAAACATTTATTTATTTTCAGTGTGATGGGTGTTTTGAATTTAAAGAACAGATCAATTAAGATTCAGGTCAAACTGCATCTAATGTGGAACTTTTATTCTTTATATGGTAATTAAATTAATCCTAGTCATTTGCATTGAATTTGCTTTCGGTTAAATCAGACTAATTCAGTGCATCCTACACTTCTGCCACTGTGATGAAAACAAAATTGACATCTCTTAAAATTTGGGAAAACCAAGTCCAAATTAGGAGCTAGCTCTGCTGTATAACAGCCAATTGTGTAACTACAAAGTTTATACTGTAAATAATGGAATAAATAACAGTACGTGTGAATAGGTCAAATCAACATATTTGGTTCTGATGCTGTGTGTGGCGCCATTGCAGTAGGTTGGAGTCACAAGTCTGGTTTAAAGTTGTGCAACATCAGCTCTGTAGATTTAAACTGATGAATTTTCAGTTCTCCTGTTGATATTTTCAGTTGAAAAAGAAAAATCTCACTTCCCCCCGCTCCCCTCTGCACAAGCAGAGAAGGTACGGCCAGACAAGTAAAGCATTAAACTTATGTTTACTAACAGAGATTGACTAATCAATCTCTGCAGACTGTTGAGTTTCTGTTTCTTTGTTGTTTTGAATGTTATCTTCATGCTTTGTGAGTAAAGTCAGATCGTTTCTGTAATAACCTTTGTGTTGTCCTCGTCCGTAACCATGGCAGGAGAACAAAAAAACTGCAGTGTTTACACCGCAGTATTGTTAGCTAGGTTTCCAACAGATCTCACTTTACCTCCCAGCAGTTATGTTATTGTATGCAGGTGTGAGTCTTCATTCATCTTACTCAAGGTTCCAGGTTACAGTCCGCCATGGATCCTCGAATTTAGTCACCTCTGTCACGGTCAGTGTTGAAAAGCAAACTTGAGTTAGAAAATGCATAAAATGTCAAAATGTCTATATAAAAACAATATTCAGTCATTTAAAAGTAACTCACCCAAAACCTGGAAGACCTCACAGTCTATCAAGTTCAAGTCATTGCCATGCATCTGTGCAGCATTGAATGGGTAATAACTTGCTGCGTTGCTGTATACAATTGGCTTGCCCGTATGAACAAGAACCAGAGATTCTCCAAAATAAGGACCACAGTTGTTCATCATTCTAACAGCATATGCAGCATTAGCAACCGGATATTTGATTAGTTTTCTTCCCTCAAAAGTAAAAAGAAACGCCCGGTCATCGTTGGCATACTGTCCAGACTGATTAAAAGGTTGTCTGGTGTAGCCTCCAAAAATGTAACCAGAGACATTGTAGCCCACAGACACGGTGGGTGACAGGCTGTCACATTGCTGGTGAAAGGCAGAAGCAGTATAACCATGGACGGTGGCTTTGTAGAGCAGTTTCAGATGAACATGTCCCAGCTGGGAGCAGATTTCTTTCTGATGATTCTCACTCAGCTTGGAGTTCATGATGGGCTGCTGCTCTGGTGAACTGAAGGAACCTTTGATATTCACTCACTTTGGGATGGGAAAGAAAGATATCACTGTGGATTACACAACTATTTGTTGACAGAGAAAAGTAAATAGAAAGCAATGCATTGTGACAAAACTGAAAATGCCAACCCACATACATCTGTAGTTTCTTTTGCATTATTGTTACAGGAAGTTGGAAATCAGAACTGCCCCGTGGGTTGCATAACCACAGCATGCAACATTAGTTACATTTTAAAGATTGGTCTTTATCTGCTTTGACTTTGTCAGCTTTCACCAAAACTTTTTAATGATCATCACTACCGACAAGTTTCACATTTGTTTTTATTTATAGATCAGACGGCAGAAGAGATCGAAATAACTTTTGAAAATTGCAGAAGTTTAGGGAAAAGGATTAGTTGGCAGAAAATCAGAATACCGCTGGAGCACCAGCAGGTGGCGACAAAATCCTGATGCCGCCGATTCTCCTAGAACATCTTCATTTTATTTCAAATTATTCTGTTTCTTCTCAGCAAACATCATCTACAGACCATGTGCAAAGTTATTTGCAGTTAATTCAAGACTAAGACACAAAGGAAACTTGTAGTTTTGCACCTCTCATTCAGATCTAGACAGCATTTTTAAAATCTTTTTGGAGGCAAACAATCTGGTACTGTTTATTTACTATGAATTATTACAGTATGTGTGAAAAAAAATTGCTTCTGCCATCATTAAATTACTTCTGCACTCATGCATATCAGAGCTCTTTAGCCTTGGTGTTCTGGTCCTCGCCTGTCTTTGTTTGCCACCTGTTGGTGGGTGTGTGTAGATAAATTTTAAACTTTTATTTGATGTTTACTGCCACAAATTACTTTTCCTCAAATGTTTCTGTCTTAGAGATAATCGTCCACCACTAATGACTCTGTTTTTTTTTAAGTTTCTCTTTTAATTAGTTTTAGTTTCTTTGAGAAGTTTAATCACTAAAGACAAAATCTGAACTTATTGGCCCTCCTACAGAGCAGTTCTAAGTTTACATGCTACTTTTCTAAATATCAATAACTAAGTTCATAAATTCAGCAAAACTTTGAATCAACGTAAGTTAGTAACTGGAAGTATTGCAATAGACACATCAGTGTTAGTCTTACCTTGCTTCTTTAAAAGAGCGCTTGGTGTTGATGAGGAAACCTCACTGTCTGTGAAGCAAATACTGATGGCACTATAATCCCTCCCACAGTCAACAAAAGTGAAACAAATTTGTCTGAGACATCTGCTTTCAAAAATGAAAGTCTCTTTAATAAGTCTCATGTTTTGTCTCTTCCTTCATTAATTGGTCTGAAGCTGATATGGACCACCGATGGATCTAGTTGAATATGTTTTGACTTTGTAGCGAAAGGCCCCGTCACATGAAATCTAATTTAGCACCAATAATCGCTCTTCATTCAAAGTTACTTAAATCCTGATTCTTCCCTCTTATGATGCTCAGTTTGAACTTTGGCAAATTGTCTTTGCAAGGTACAGGTGTCTAAATACATGTGGTGGCCTTATTCTCAATTTGCGTTGAACTGATCCAGCAAACAGTGGCTGGTGAGTGTTTCTCAGAAAAGCTGTTTATTTGAAAAGGGGAATTTGGCATTGCAGTCATATGGAAACTGAGAGCTGATAACAAATGCCCAAGGGACATTTTGTCACATGCATAAACCTGCTTCTGCCTTTTTATTGAATACTTTCACTTTTAGTTGGGACAAAATAATACATCTCAATGTAGTGGTGTAGATAAAACTGGAGGTAACATTATTTACTGCAGATAAAACTAGTTGTACAGGATGTTTTTTTCTGAAAAGGCTACATTAATGATTGGAATAAGTCACAACCACATCAGCTCTTTTTAGGCCTTAGGAAACCTTCCTAAAATAATGGCCCAAATCATTTTTTGCCAAAAGTAACTTTGGCAACAAACAACAACAAAAAACCCACCTTTTTATTTCCAAAACAGGATTTAGGCACACAAAAAAATAAATAAAAATCCCGTTAGATAAAAAATAAAAGGTCTTGTGTCACAAAAAATGCTATTGTACATCTTTATTTGAAGTAGGTTGTACCTTTGTAACTGTGATTTCTTATACTCTGCAAAGAAATAAATGCTGCTACCTGTTGATCATTTCACTCAATGCATTCTCTGTTCTCTGTTTATGAAAGACTATAATTTGAACTTTTTGAATTGGTCTGTATAGTGCCTGCCGGATAGTCTTTGGGCAAAATGTATTACATTTCTGAGTGGATTTTGAGCTTATAGGTCTATAAACCATGTAGACCTATAAGGTCATAGAGATCTCTTTACTTAGTGTCTCCAGCACTAGAAATAAAGTGGAAGTTGCATTTAGTTTCTAGTTCTCTGGAAAAACTAATGTGAGTCAGTGTTGTGAAAAAAAAACAACTATTGGTTCATGTTTTCTTCTGGAATGTTTGTGTTTGACACAACAGTCAAGTTCTATGAATAAAAATATTGGCAGGACACAATAAAGCGGTCGCACAGAAACTGAAAATATCCGATAAAAGCCTCTCATGCTACACAGACATTTTCACAATTTTTTTTTTTTCCAATGTAGAAGGTGCAACTTTCAGTTTTGAAGTTTTGACTGAGGCATGTTCCTTAATGCATCCGCCATTAGTTTTAGGTCTAGCACTGAAAAAAAGCAAGTTGGATTACATTTCTACATCTAGTCAGTCCATAAAAACCATATGTAGATTATAGACCCAGGACTTTTTATGCTGTAATAAAAGGGACAAATTGCTCAATTGCTCATTTTTCTTTCTTTAATGAAAGAAAAATCAACTTTTTTGATTATTGTTTGACTGTTGTTGTTTTTTTTTCTGTTTTTTTTTTATACAAAGCAGTGACATGACGGTTTTCACAGTTATCACACTTGCATTTCTTTTTTTTTTTTTTTTTTTTTTTTGCTCAAGTGTCCTAAACAGCTAAAAAAAAAAAAAAGAACAATTTGATTTCACAAAACATATTATTATAGAATTGGTTTTATTAGAATACTTCAATACATCGAATTTTGTTTTGAATTTAGATGCGATGTCAGGATATTACCACTAGATGGAAATGCAGACTTGAGCGCCGACAAGAAAATCTCGGAGTCTTCACACATCTGTTTTCGACTTGTTGCACTTCAACTTGTGGATTTTTCAATATCTAAAATCCAACCAACTATTTATTTTTTCTTAAACGTTGCATCTAATAACAGAAGACAGTAGAGAATACACAACAACCCAAATGAATTAGTAGAAAGAGTTTTTAAAAAAAACCCGAGTGGAGTAATTTTAAATATAAAAAACGACATAATGCGTTAATATTTTAAAGTGAGCTATAGGCAGATATTTTGTAATAAATAAACAAAATGCACGCAGGATGTCTCGCGAAACCTCTTCTTGTCCAATGGGACAGGCTTTGCGCCTCGGAGATTGTGTGGCCAGCTTAGAGGTGGTCTTTGTATGTCGGAGCAGATGAAGGGTCCTGACTCTGCAGTGCCAGAGCCGCTGGGACCGGGAGTGAAGCTCATAGACCTCCGAGGAGCTGCAGAAACCACCGAGGCGCACTAAGGGAGTCCTGTGTTCCACTTTGGCTCACTCTGCACTTCATACACCGCTCTGATGTCTCTGCCCTTATGTCGACATTCGCCCTGAGGGTCACACTGGCGAAAACCAGCTGTACAAAAACTCTGTCACAGAAGGATTCTTGGACTTTTGAACTTATGTGGCTCTTAATTTTATTGTCAGTGGCCTTTTCAGCCGCGCAGGACTCGGACACCCTGGCCAAGAATGAGGACATCCCGGAGGGCGCATCCACCCTGGCGTTCGTTTTCGATGTGACCGGCTCCATGTACGACGACCTGGTCCAGGTCATCGAGGGAGCTTCTAAGATTTTAGAAACATCCCTGAGCCGACCGAAGAGACCGCTGTATAACTTCGCTCTGGTGCCCTTTCATGACCCAGGTAATGCAGATCAAAAGAAAGGAATGCATGCATGAAAAAAAAAAAAAAAAAAAAAAAATATATATATATATATATATATATATATATATATATATATATATATATATTTAATTTGTACAATTTTTCACAGTTATTCTGCTTTTTCTGTTAGAACAAGGATCCATGTGCAGTTTTGAACAGACTAGAAAAATATGAAACATGTTCAGATTATTTTTCAAGTAAAGTTGGTGTAAAAAAATGCCACTTTTTTTTTCTTTTTGCACATAGACCTTCTTAGATTAATGTTTTACACTAATGATCCCTATAGTGCCCTCCCACCCCCAAATTTCTGATGAGTTTGGTCAAGGATACCTCCCACAATTATGTCAGTCATATACTTTGTGAGGGAATGTTTAGTTGTAGAAAGTAAATAAATACATTTTAATTATTGTTTTGAATATGAAAGAAAAATCAACAGCTAAAATTTTCTGCTCTTTCTCCTTGACTTTAAAAACTGAAAGCTGCTTGTATGTGACATTTTGAAGTTTGGAATGGTGAATAGGGAAAAAAAATCTAGTTTTTGCTGCAGTTGTGGTTTCTGATTACAAAATCAGAAGACCGTAAAACATCCTGCAACCTAAACTCTTATGTTTTGGGGTTTGGAGGGGCCATAAACAAAAATATAGATATAACAAGGCAGCCCCTTTCTCAGTAATTGCAAAATAAACTATGACCCATTCTAGATTTTAGAAGCTGATCTAGTGTCCATATGCTGTAATTTCACACTGATGAACTGGAACGTCAGCAATATGTTTTCATATTGTTGGACCACACAGATTATAAACCTCAACCGGGAACAACTTTATGAACAAATGTCTTAAATTTAAAAACTGGAAATTGAGTCTGGAAACTAATGAGATTTTGCAATATAAAATTTGTTGAATCTTGAATATTTTGAGAGTGTTTGGTGGTTGAATTTTACTCTTTGTAATTCAAACAAAAGCAGTCGGAAAGGTGGAAGATGTGACAGTTTGTTGACACTCCGCCCTCTGAATGTTCCTCACCTCCTCCCTAGCAGGAACTGTTGGACTTGGTTTCTGTGTGCAGATGTTAGGACTGATGGCCTCTTTCATTAGCGTTCCATCAGGGGTGACTGCGAGGCTCTTAGTTTTGTAACGCAGCTTGACGATTGTCATCACCTTCTAAGCGCTCTCTCATTCTCAGCAGTAATGTCTAGACAATATATCACCGGGTTATTTAACATGAACGTCGCACTGCAGGTCAGAACTGGCAAATAGTTACGTAAGACCATTTACTGCAACAAATTCTGTGTTTAAGAGACACAATCATGAGATTGATTGCAATTATTTTCACAGTGCTTAGGGAAAAAAAACACACAGGAACAAAAACATTTTAATAACAAAAACTTGACACATTTCCAGGGGACACTTAGAGGAAGAGGTGAGCGGACAACTCTGAATGAATCTGATTATTTCTGCAGGACTGGATGCTTTTTAGTTTAAATGTAAAAAAAAAAAAAAAAAAAAAAAAGAAGAGACATTTAACACTCAAAATAAGAATTGCCTTGGTAGATAAAACATCTAATGCCATATTTTGACAATATATGGCAGCATCCTTTCCATAAATGTTAATAGCTCTTGGTGTAAGTTTTGCTTCCACAGCCTGAACATTTTTATGTCAAATACTGTAAGCAGGTTAATCTGAAAATACCTGAACCAGGAGACCTGAAGGAAAAGAAAATAAATTAATAGACAGATGATCTGTGCGGTGAACACAAATTCCTCATCCAGATGTTGCTTCTCTGCTGGTTTTCAACATTTTTTCTGAAGCACATATTTCTCTCTGATCTGTGAGCATTCATCTTAAAAAATAACCACATAATACAAGGTGCAAATCTGTTTATTATACACAAATGTAATAAATATCCAATTCATTATGTATTTTTTGAGTGTGTAATTTATTAGGATGTGATATAAGAACTGCAATGCCTTTGACGTATCAACAGAAATGGAAAAAACTTTCGTCTTGGACTAAGTTTAGGTTTTCAACTGTTCCTGCCTGTTGAAGTAAATTCTGAGATCGTCTTCTCACAGTTACAACAGCCTGAGTTTGAGCTTCCATGTCGACTCCTTTTTACAGACTTTACAGCTGCGTGTTTGTCCTTCACCGGCAAGTGACATTCGTTTGCTTCTGAAGATGTTTACGAGGATGTCAGAGTGAATCCCCTCAGGGAGTAGAGGAATGATTAGCACAACACACTGCGAGCAGGGGTAGCTGAACATTTTTCCAAATGTTGTTTTGACCCCGGATCTCTGCCTTCCTTTCTGCCCCCTTCTCTGTTTTGTTTTCATTGGGACATTTATGACACAGATCCATTTTCTTTCCGTTTTATCCAGCCCAGTGAGATAACACAGCTCCTCCTGTTTGATCTGGCTTCTTTTACATCAGAAGTCTTTATTTATACTGCAATCTGACTCGGTAAACACAACACTGCACTGTGTGTTCTTCTAAAGTCTATCCTTTTGCAAGTTTCTAAGAGAGCCTGTGTATGAAGCGAAAAGGATGCCTGGATATTGGGGTCAGGCCTGTATGGGAAGATAACCAGGAAGTCTGCCCCCGAAACTCCATCCTGCAGGAAGAAAAAAAGAGAGGAAAGAAGCAGGATTCCTTCTGGAGCCATTTTACTCACGTACTGGACTGCAGTCCTGTTCTAGTGGAAAGAAGTTTATTCATAGTGCCTTTCAAAATAACTTTTGTTCAATTTTGTCATCTCATAAATGCACACTGTTACAGTATTGAGATATGTTTACCAAACTCTTAGCTATGACTTGCAATGAAGTTTGCAAAACTTGCATTGTGTGCTTAGTCATAGTCAAAAAATGTTATATTGAAAGATTCATTTATTTAATTGAAACACATTTTATGGATTAACTACAGACTGTCTTAAGGACTTTATTTCAGATACAGTTAATGAAAACATTTAAGATTAGAACATTTTATCAGATCAATAAAAAACTTAATGCAGAAATGCAACTTAATGAAAAGTATATTTAATGCAAATAGAGCTAGATGATATGACTGAAAAATTCATCACAATATCAGTAATTATATTAATTTAGTTTTTGTTTTAAATATCTGAAATGCTGCCAAACTGGTGGCACGACTTTTCCTGCTTTATCCACAGTTTGTCCTCCACAACGTTGTTTTTTATTTTTAAGCAGTTATGAAGCACGGTGACAAAATCTGAAACTGCTGCTTCACAGAACAGTTGTGTTCATACTTAAATTAAATCAAACACAGGTACGAATTAAGTGACTTTTGGGGGTAATTGGTTGCACTGGATTTTATTTACAGGGATAAGAGAAAATCCAAATGTGTTGAATATTTTCAGTTTTTGATGTTAAACTTCTAAGAGATAATCAAGTAGAAGATCAACTAATGAAACACTTTTGATTAGCAGGATCTGATTGTTTCATGTAAGCAGAAAGGCTGTACTTATATATTTTTTTCATTAGAGCAATGGAAATTTTCTTTTTCTTGACTGAACAGAAGTGTAGAAAAAGAGGCTGTGTCAATTTGAAAACTGGCTGAAGAGAATCAGCTCAAATCAAAACATTACATTTTTCTAAATTAAATCAAGCATCTCATAAATTGTTTGGATTCATTTTATGAAGATTCCTGGCGCGTTTCAGCTGTGTGCTGTAGAAACCGACTCCTCTCAGTTGAAAGCCTGCCTGTCTAACGTTTTCCTGCCAGTTGTGATTAGCAAGAGGGAGACGGCTGAGGAGTGATGAGAAGGGAAGGCAGAATAGTTTCTACCTTCTCTGTAAGATCAAAGCCTCTCGTCTCAAAGCCTCCTTTGTTGGTTTTCAGCGTCTTTTCCTACGAGTCCCGTGTTTTTCTTTGTTTCCTTCTGTCGAGAGCTTTTCATTTTTTTTGTCTTAAACACTCCGCCCGTGTGAGATTACAAGGAGCCTGTATTTAGCTGGACAGAGTCAGTAATGATGCTATTAGGTAGGAATGCCAAAAGAGAGAGAGGAGGAGATTTTGGAGAAGAAGAAAAAAGAGGAATAGATGGAACAACAGTTCTAGTTTTTGTAGTTTCATATATGCTCTGGAATACTTTTTTATGACCTTATATTGTTATCCAAGGTGATATAAGTGAACACTGACTTTGTTTGAATAATTCAATTTATAGAAAACCGATGTAGGAACTGATGCACTTAGTTAAAGGTGTATGTAATTTTGAGCCTGGAACTTTAAATGAATTTTAAATTACACTGATAAATCGAATCAATTTAAAATAAGTGATGCAGTTAAGAGGGTTTTTAAAATACACCACGTGAGGTTTGTTCCCTTCAGACACTCCACATGTTTTCCTTTTGACTTAGGCTAAAGTTACAAGGCCCCATTCGTCCAAGCAGGACCATCAGCTTTCTTCTGAAGCCACCAGCTGGCCTAAATCGACTGTTTTTACTATTTTTCCACCAAATTTGTTTTTTTTTTTCATTGGAAAATTTAAAATGAAGACATAAATCTTTACCATTGGTACATAATTGTGAAGTGGAAGGAAAATGATTTAGTCTTTTCAAAGCTTTTTATAAATAATCTCAAAACCACAGTTCTGCATTGGTTCAGGAGGGACTGGTGTTGGATAGCAGCGTGAGGAAAGAACATTGTGTGGACATGTTGAAATAACATCAGCCAGGAAGTTAAGACTTGAGTATAACTGAGTCATGCAAATGGATTTTAATCACACGGTTAAAATAGTTACAAAGCCAACAAATTCAGTGTGGGCAACAGATATCTGAGTTATAGAAAGATATCAGTCGCTCATAGAAAATTTGTGTACAAAGCTGAAAATGTGACGGCCTCATTCTGTCAGCAATTTCCATCAAAACAACTCTGAAAAGCTTGTGGGAGGATACTGAAAATGTTTGATTTAAGTCATACAATTTATGAAGACAGTTCTGCAGAATGCTAAACAAATGTATGCAAAC